ATTTTCAATTTCTTCACAAGTTACCCTTTTGTCGTCTCCCCAGTTGGTAAAATGCAGAAGGCCTTTGTTAGATGTTTTTTTCTTCTTTTCCCCTATTTGTCGTGTGTGTGTGTGTGTGTGTGCCCTCGCTACTACCTTTTTTTTCGGTTTCGCTTTTTTTTTTCAAACTTCTCTTTCCCTTTCCACAGTTTCACTGCACGGGTGTAGTATGCACTCCCATCTGCGTCAATGCCCTCCATCCATCGGAGGACGCCCTTTCCCCAACCTGCGCCCGCGCACACTCATGCAACCTACTCGCGCCACCAATTCCTCTCGGCCGCCTCAGAAATTCCGTCCGGTGCCGAACCGCGGTGGGGGACCGTAGTTGCCCTGCTGCGCACTCCCCATCATCGGCATCGGCATCGGCATCGGCATCGGCATCGGGACAGCCCCGCCCATTGGATTTGGTGGCCCTGCTCGGATCATGAGAGGGGCCTCTCCAGCCGCATGTAAAGGCCCTGTTCGCCTCGCCGCTTCCTTCGCAGATTGTTGGGCGTCCGTCATGGACTTCTCCAATCGCGACAGTTTGGCTGTGTAGTCCTGAATAACCTGAATAAAGTACGGCATCGCGAGTTCGGTGCGCTTGTTGAGCCAGGCTTTTTCCATCACGGACTGAGGCGTGAGGTGATCGTAGCACGTGTAGAGGCAGGAGACAAAGCACTCTGGGTGGTCCACGACGAAGAAGTCAAGAAGATCCTCTACAATCTGCGGGTTGGCGCTCTCGGCGGCAGTTTCGATGGCGTCCTGGAAGAGCCTGTTCGCCTTCGCCACCGCAATGGCGTGCGTGTAGCGCTTGTTACGTCGGTGCAGATAGAGTGCAATCTTGCGGAACTCAAACAGTTCCATCTTTTCCAGCTGAGTGCTTAGTTCGGCAGAGTCAAAGTTATCGAAGCGCTCTACCGAGTTGCGTAGCGCAACAAAGTCCTCATCCTCCATGTAGAGTTTGTTAATTGCCTCGTTCACCAGTCTCGAGTTGCGCTCCTGGGCAGACTCTAGATATTGACGAATAAAGTGGACAGGGGCGATCTTCTGCACCTCCAGCAAGACACGCTCGGGGTCCAGCGCCTTAAACATGCTGATGAGAAAGTCGTTGAGGAGTTGGGGGTTGGTTTTAATGTAAAAGGGGATGGAGTTGTACACCACGTCGCTGGACCCCAAGTGGCTCACCACACTCTTGTAAATGTCATGATCCCAGGCATCGACGCAGTGTTGCATCATCGTCGTTGCGGCGGCAAGCCAATCCTCATTGTTGACGTGCAACACTCGAAGCACCAACCACAGATGGTACTGCTCACATGCAGAAATCATTTTGTGGGTGTTAATTTTCTTGGCGTACATATTCACATGCTCGAGTAGCTTTTCAGGCTTGTATTTCGCCAAAATCAGTCCCATCCCCGTAAAGATGCCCATGTGGGCCCCTGTTGTGGCGGACGCCGTTTTGAGCACGGAGAACAATTCCTCCCAGAGTCCATGTCTCTCATAACGATCCATGACGCCCTGCAACATTTCGGCTTCTAATACAAGAGGAACAGCACAAATGTTGGCCAGTTTAACCTCATTCGCCTCAATACAGGCAATATTCACAGCTGTCCATGTTTTCCGTGATTTTGCCTTTTGCGCGGCATCTACAGCTGCCGGTAGATTGTTCATCTTCACCAATGTCACCGCCAGTTTGGGAAAGTTGGACGCCAAGGTGTACAACACACGCGCGGAGTCGTAAAGTCCATCATCGAAGCACTTATCTGCCACTTGCTGAACCTGCACATTGTGGGTCTCCTTCAGAAACTCTTCCAACTCCGTTAGGTGACCTGTCTTGGCGTATGTAAGCACCAACGCCGTATCGATTTTGTTGTCCTTTGTACGAGATTCTACGCGAGCCATATTGAGGTACTTGATGAGGTCGCCAAACTCGTTGTTGCGATCCGCCGCCGCGGTCACTGCGTCCACAAAGTTCGGATTCTTTGCTCGAATAAGTGCCTCTATTGCCTCATGCACCTCATCGACGTCAAGCAAGTACCTCCCAAGCTCGGACCAGACTGCGGGGTGATCACACTTCTGAGCGTAGGAGCGACCGCGGGAGACATCTTTCAGATTTTGCAGCAACACCGTCGCCGCCTCCTTTTTCATCTCGTTCTTGTCATAGACAGCAAAGGCCACTTCAGGCATCTCGGCATTGATAGCTATGCTAGCAACCTCCTTGGCGTCGTAATTCTCTAGTGTCATGACATACTCCATCAACTTGTCCTTGCGGGAGCGGACGGCGGTCATGATGAGAAGATTCTCTAGGAAACGATTCTTCCTAAAGCGACCTCGCACCACAATTTGATCCAGAATTGACGCCAGCTCCTGCGTCATCCCTGCATTCATAAACGCCCGAACGGTGGTACTGACCTCCTCATCCACTTCCGACTCCGGCAGGGCGGTTTGTTGTACGGCCTCCACAAGGCGATCACGATCCTTGGTATCATTTTGCAGCGTTGACGCCCAAAGCTCAAGATTTTTCTCCTGCACAAGATAGCGAGCAAGCTGCTTCCACATGCCATTCTTCATAGTCAGCTGCACCAGCTCCTGACTTAAGTGCCCCTTGCGATAGGCAATGTAGGCGAGGTTTGTGTCACGGTTCTCGCAGTACTGTCCAAGGACTAATGGTTCATAGTAGGCATCTTCCATCAAGAATTTTTCGGCGTGGTTGTCGGTGTCCACATACAACTTTCCCAGAGCGTTGTGAAGTGCCGCATCCGTCTTCTTTTCTGCCAAACGGGCCTCCAGCCATCCTTGAATAAGACGCAGACGACCCCGTTCCTCCACAGCCTGCACCAACTCAGGAATGGGGCACATGGTGCCTACAGCATTGAGAATGTTCTTGATGAACTCCTCTCGAACGTTGCAGTCGATGAGGGCCGCCACCACCTCCGGGGTCTTCCCTGGGCTTCGACGCTGCAGGTATTGCTCAATAAGCGCCTCGTTGTCTGTGTCAACCAAGTAACGCACCATTTCATCAATGTAGCCATGCCGATCACACACGTTGATGAGGGGCCAGAGATCTGTCATTTTCTTGTTTTTCAGGTAATTCTTCGTTCGTTCAGGGTCGTAGCACGGGCTTTCCCGCGTCATTCGCTCCAGTTCCTGCGTCTGACCCACCTCCGCCGCAGCCTCAATGTAGCGGAAATGCACTTCCGGGTCTCGTGTGTAGGGTACAATGGCACCAAGATAGTAGTAAAGAATGTCGTACAGCTTGTGCTCGAGAAAGAGCTCGATAAGCTTGTCCGCTCCAAGCGCATCACTGTACTTGGCGGCAATCTGCACAATAACCTTGAAGTTCCCACGGTGATTCTGCAACAGGTCCTCCAAGCACTTCATGCTGTCGGACTGACTGAGTTTTCCAAAAAACTCCAGTAACCACTCCGGATTGAAGCTTTGGGCATGGGAGAGGCAACGACGGATGTTGGAGAGGTTGTCTAGATCGGGGTCCTGGTTCTGCGCCATGACGTAGCATTCAATGGCACGCTGCGGCAGTCCCGCCCGCTCACACAAGGGTGCCAACTTCATTCCATCGTAATGGAGGCAAACACCACGCGCAAATATCTTCTCCGCGACGGACGGGTGGGAGTGTTTTAAGTTTATTTCCAGCAGCTTCGTTTGGAGCTCTTTGGTCGACTCATCATTTTTCCCTCGCAGAACCTCAAGCAGAAACTCTGTCGCCTGCTGCAGCTGCTGCGCCGTCACAAACATGTCCACCACCTCTTTTGGGTCTAGGACCGGGGTGTCACCCATGTCACGATGGAGCATCAACGCCAAACTCACGGAATTTTGTGGATTGACGCGAATAAAATTATTCAAAATGACACGCCAATCCGGTGAAAAACCCGCCCTTTTACAGTACTCCACCGCCTTTTGGGTTTCGTTGCGTTGCAGCAGGAGGTTCACAACCTTTGCGTGGGCCTCAGCCTTGTGATACATTTTCATTGCCATGTCTGGTTCTGCCTGCGCCACAACATCAGCAAGCTCCTCGCTAGCCGTGAGCTTGTTGGCCTCGTATTGTTGCCGGATGTACGTCGACCCGCCCTTGGGCACAACCACGCGCGCAAGCTCAATCGATTCATGCGCGTTCAGCGTTGTCTCCGCAAGGATCATCTTGAAGTATGTGGATATGGCTGGTGGTTGTCCTGGTGACTGAGGAAAGTGCACAAAGCGGTTGAGAACTTCTGGGACACGCAACGCATTGTTAGGGGCGCGCAAACAGGCACGAACGGCCTCTTCTATGTTCCCTACGCGAAGGTTGTTGTCCAACTGCATGCGGTAGAGGTCATCCACGCCACCCAAGTTGGCGGAAGTGGCGATGCGCACGGCGAGCTCTGGGTTTCGCATTTGCTCCTTGACAAATGGAACAATTCCGTTGTCATTCGGAGAGACGTGAAACACGGAGCCTTGATTGTTGACGCAAAGCAGTCCTCCTGTTTTTCCGTACGATGTGCCGCAGAAAACGATATTAGGAGTTACTTGTTGGGATTTAATGATGATTCCGGTAAAGATGTCCATCAGGATGGCAGTTCCGCGACTTGTCATGATGGTCAGCAGCTTGTGCCGCGGGGAAACCGTTAGGGCGACGGGAAAGTCGCCTGGAGGGAATGGCACATCCACCACCCGGCGGGGAATTGTGATATCCATCTTGGGGCTGGTGGGAAGCTCCATCAGCTGCACCCTCCCGCCTTCGTGGAGGGTGTTCCACGCCAGACACATAACGTTACACGCACGCGGCTCCGTGGGCGTGTTGGTCGAGATGAAGGTCCCAGCGTGTCCATCAACGACCCGGCCATCACGATTCTCCACGCTGTACAGTTGCGTCTTCCCCACCATTCCCTCCGCCACTCGCGCCACGCCTGACAACAGCAGCCACTTCTTCTTTTCGTCGGCGCAGTAGTTTAGTATCTGCACGGCGGCGCCCATGTCAGGGGCACGCTCAAAGACACGCTCCGGCATGGCATCCTCCGCAGTGTCAAGGCTCCAGTGGTACACGGCTGTGTTGGACACCACCCCGATGGTTCGGTCATCCACCCAGCGCCAGAAAACCACATCTTCGGTGAACAAAACCACCTTGAGCCTCTTGGCAGCATCCACGTCAAAGATCTGGAGGTTCCGACCACTGCGCAGCGCAAGGATCTTTGACTTGGGGTTCATTATAGCTGACTCTGCATCGCGGATGTTGTTACGCACACTCTCACGCTTTTCCAAGTCCACAATCACAAGCGACGTCTGCCCATCCGGCTGCACGTCGCGAAGGCATACGTACTTGTCGCTCTCCAACGTCAGTGTCTTAAAGGAGATTGTGCCGGGCCGCAGCCCACCCGCAACGGAGTTCAACTGAAAAACTTCGGCAGTAGTCAATGGGGCGTTCATTGTTTCGCGTGGTTCCTTGTTTTTTTTTTGTTTCTCTCTTCCCTTTCTTTTTTTTTTATTGCCCCGTCTCCTTCGTTGCCCCACCCTTCGATCGCTTCTAAGCCCTTTCCCTCCGCGGCCTCGCTCAAGCACAGGACCGACGCCGCAAGGAAGCGAAGTGAAGAATCCTAAAGTCTATCTCGCGGCAAATAAAGATATATACTTCCTCGCGCCTTTCGCTTCGTTTTCTCTCCCCTCCTTCAGTGGTTGTTGTTGGTGCTGACAATACTACTACACTTTCCACTCAAAGCGGAAGCAGGAGGCGGTTGGCGGAGAATGACGGCCACGAAGGCAAGAAAACCCGGCACACCGACACCCACCCCAGCAGCAGCAGGGCGAGCGGCACACAGACACACACACACACACACAGACACACAGAGAGAAAGAGAAAGAGAGGAGGAGGGAAACGCTCCCACACGCAATGGGGAAACAACTCCTCTACACGTCCCCTTTACTCAACGTGTGAATAGGGAAAAGAAACAAAGGCATTATTTCGACAAATGAAATAATGGAGAAAAACAAAAAGAGAGAGAAGGCGGTGGGAAGGATGGAGAAGTTGGGGGGAAAAAACGCGTCATCTTCCACTTCCCACTCCGTCTGGTTTCCCTTCTCATTTCCTCGATTGCTTTTGTTTTTACTATTCTGTACTTGCCCGCTACCCTCATTAGTCCCCCTTCGTTTTCACTAGAGAGTGACTGTGAAGAGAAAGTGCTTGGAAAGCGGAGGCGAGACGAAAAGATGGCTTTTCCCTTTTACAACCCCACCGCCGCCTCTGTGAGACCCATTCTCTGACACAACTCCTGGTGGGGGCTGGGCCCCCTCCTTCCTCCTTCCTCCCCCCTCCCACTCCCAAACGTCAACGCCCAATCAAACTTCGGTTAAATGCTGCTCTTTATGCTTGCATGCAATTGCTGCTTTGATTCCACTTTTAACCCTCCCTCCTCCCCTCCCCCCCCCCAAAAAAAAAAAACCAAAAACATTTCTTGAACGAACAAAAGCCAAAAAAAAATATTGGGGCGGCACACACACACTCTCAGACAGAGAAACAGGTGCCCCGATTTACTGATACATAAATCCTTCTCCAGTAGAGAATAAGATCACTGAGAATAAGGGAAACCAACAAGGTCGCCAAAAACTACGAAGAAGAGCTCTTAAAATACAGGAAAACCACACCCGCACCCGCACGTACGCGCACGCACACGCACACTCCATCTTTCCTCTTCTCCCTCCCAGAGTCCCTCTATTACAACGACATTCACGTCATCCTCCTTGGGCTATTTGGTTCTTTCCTACTGTAGTCGCCTTAACTCCAGCAAAGAACGAGAGCAGAAATAAGTTACTATGCAACTATCTATCTCTACATACACACACATACATAGACACACACACATATATATATATATGAATCGATAGAGATGCATTGTTTTCCTCTATGCATAGGATTTATTTCTGCATGCAGGTTACCTTCTCACTCTCCCCCTCTCTATTTCCCTGTGTAGTTCATATTTTGTGAAAGGGGTTCCATTTTGTGTGTATTTCGGTGTTTTTTTGTTGTTATTCTTTTCCTCTCGTACGTGCTGCTGTTGAGGGACACACCTCAACTCTATTGAGGTAACTTGCAGCTCTTCTCCTTTACCCGATTACCCGCCACCTGCCCTTTACAGCTTCCCTTCCATTCGCTAAATGCCTTCCTCTCGCCTTGTTGGTTTTGGCTTCGTTTCTTTAGTTTCTTTTTGCGGTGCCTTTCCCCCACCCTCTCCCCCCTCCCTTCTGACACGCCCCACACGCATTCCCCTCGTCAGCCACCACCCACCACTTTCGTTTTTCTGCGCAAAAAAAAATAAAATAAAAATAAAAAAGAAACAACTAAATGGCCGTCGAAACGCCAAAATGAAGGCACAACACAACAAATTACAAACAGTTGCGTCATACTCATTCTCGTTCTATTGCGGTTTGTTTGTTTGTTTGCGTGCATTTTCATATGCTTTTAAAAATTATTACCGCTGTGTCTGTGCGTATTTCATAAATGCCCGCCTATTTACCCTAGTTGACAACGGGCCACGACGCATCCGATGCAAACAAAGAAGGCCGTAAACAAGAGAGATAAATAGGCGCATTTGCGAAACACGCACACACACACACACACACACAACTTCTTTCAATTTCCACACATGGAGGGATTTTGCCATTTCTTTGTCCGTGTGTCTCGTTAGGAGGAAAAGGGAGAGAGTTGAGGATTTATGCAATCAACGGAGCCTCGGACTTGCAGTCGCGTGCCAGATGGCCCTTCTCGCCGCAGATATAGCACGGCTGCTCCTCATCCGGCAGACGCGGGTTGGGGCAGTTGCGGGCGACGTGGCCCTGCATGCCACAGCGAAAACACGGATAAAACATCCTCGCCGTCCGAATGCGTTCTGGGCAGCGCCGCGCAATGTGGCCAGTCATACCGCAACTGTTGCACCTCAGATTTTCAACCACCTCCGGACACTCACGGGCGTAGTGGCCTGTTTTGTGGCAGTGAAAGCATGACTGCTCGGAACGTGGCAAGCGGGGATTCGTGCAGTCGCGGGAGATATGACCCTCTTCACCACACCTGTAGCATGGCTGCCGTGTGTCCGGCGGTGCGAGTGGGCAATTGTTGGCTCGGTGGCCAGCCTGGTGGCAAAAGAAACATGGCGCGTCTTTAACATCCACGTCGCTGGTGCAGTCCCTACTCATGTGACCAGGCTGGCCGCAGCGGAAGCAAAGACTTTCATTGACAGGCTTGGAGCAGTCGCGGCTTGTGTGACCTACACCACCGCAACGATAGCAAACCATTTCTGTCTCCGTGCTCTCTCTTCAAAGAAAAGAAAAAATGACACGTCAAAAACCCCGAAAAACAAAACAAACTGAAACCTTTGAAGAAAAGTGTTTCGGCCCCACTCCACTGTACTTCAGGTACGCGCAATGAGTGATTGCTCCCTTTGCTTGTGTTTGTTATTGCTGCCGTTGCGGCGAACGCCAACCTCAGACGCTTTACTGTCGTGCAAAATGTGACTATCAGGGCTGGGGAGGGATGAAGAAAAAATCCCCTACAGACAAGCACAGCGATGCCGCAACTCCCTCTTGCGGCGGCGCCGCGGACACAACTCCGGAAGTCCCCCACAGACATGCACACACGCACCCACAAAGATGGAGAGAGAACGCGCCCTCGTGTATCTCTGCCCCACTGCCACCGCCAGCACCAGCACCAGCACCAGCACCAGCACCAGCGGCGCACAGGCGCACACGCTCGCCGTGCCAAACGCAGCCGCGACACCGGCACCCCCCTTCGCCAAGAAAGATGAACACCAAACGTTGTCTCCCCCCCCACAAATCAAGCAGCTCTGCCTCTTTCATTTTTCAGTGCGCCTCCCAATTGGCCGAACAACACAGCCCCGCCGAGAGAGAGAGAAAAAAAAGGGTTGGGCCCGCCAAAAACACCGCCACCATCCGTCCCCTCCTTTTTTTTCATCGTTTCCGCCCCTCCTCCTCTCAGCCGCTCCCCGTCCGCAGCAAATCCCCTCCCATCTCCTCACACGCGCGTCCCAGCTGATCCCCGTCAAGCAACGAACCTGCACCTCCCCCGCACTCCTCCTCCGACGGAATCGGGTCGGAGCAAAAAAAAAAAGCATA